CCTACGCTGGCGTTGGCTTCATTGTTCTGGAAGTCGTGGGCACAGTCAGTGCAGGCCGGGGTGACCGGGGCCCTGTGCATTTGGGAGGGGCTTGGGAGGAGAGGCTGGGAAAGCCCACGGGGCCTGCAGGCTGGCCTGCGCGGCCCAGGGGTCAGACTAGCATGGACTTGCGCCTGCTCCTGGTGCCACCTGCACCCTCCCCAGCACCTGTCCGTCTGCCAACTTGGCCTACACCCCCGCCTCCTGCCTGGGCCTCTCCTGGGCCTCGGTGTACCCACCTGCCCAGCACGGCTCCTGACTCGTTAGCACACCACTGCTCTTCTTCCTCTTGTGTGCGGGGTTTAGCCCACTAGCCTCTGGTGAGGACGCCACGTGACTTCCGAAATCTCATGAAAGGTCATGCGAGGAAATAGAGAGTTTAAATGTCGTTTAAAAGAGTGAAAAGATAGACCGAAAGTCTTCGTCCACTAAGTATGGAAACAAGATCCAAGTAACTACAACGGGGAAAGTGAGCCCCGTGACCCACACTCCCCCGGCCCCTCCCCGGCGCGGCGGGCCTCGCTGGTGGCGCAGGACGGGGCCCAGCGAACACGTTCAGATGCAGGAGCTGCGCGCTCAGCAGGGCCACGGCGCCCGCCCCCGGTGTCGCCTGCCCCGGGGCCCGTGGGGTCTGACACATCGCGGAGAGAGTCGGGGTGTGGGGGGTGACGATGACTGGGGACTGCAAGCTTGGGGGGGTGCTTGCCTGATGGGTGGGTGGTTCGTTTCAGTTCGGTAAACGGAGACAACTGCTGAGAAAACCAAACAGCTGATCCTTCCCCTGGGAAGTTCTCTATGGCGAGCAAAATGAGACCTTTTCGGAAAGAGCGTCCAGAACTCCCAGGACCGTCTGGCCTGGTGGCCGCGGCCCTGGGAACATCCCGGCGTCACAGGCCTGCGTGGTTGCGCCTTGTCTTAACCCGAGAGAGACGAATTCTGGTGCTTGACGGCGCTTCCTTGGAGAACACACGGTCAAATCCAGGAAATCACACGGGTGGAGGAATCTCGGTCTGACGAGCTCCGCAGACTTTGAGCAGAAACACGGGGCAGAGGCCGCCGATGCCGGTCAGCGCGCCGGGCGGCCCGGGCGCCGTGGATGGGGCTGAAGAGCCCTCTGCTGGCCTCTGCGCGGAACTGCCGGCGCCGCCGCCCAGAGCGCAATTAGGAATTAATTACATTTAATCACCCATGACCTCAAGCTCTCCGAGGGTAATTTAAATGCAGCCTTCTCATAACTGAATGAAAATTAGAAGAACAAAGGGTACCATTTTTCATTAACAAATTGGCACGGGCTAATCACGCTTGTTGGGGGGAAAAGTCTGGAAAGACAGACCCATCCACTCCGCGGGGGCCAGGCAGGGGCACCCACGAGGCCGCGGCCCCCACACGGCCCCCCGAGCCTGCCCCCGCTACTCCCATGGGGGTAGCCTCCGCACCCTGATGCAGTGAGAGAGGGGAGGGAGTGCCCCAGGCCGGGGCTCGGTCCCTGCGTCCTGGCGCCGCCTCGATGAGTCTGGACAAGGCTCTCAGGTCGCGAGGGGGTCGAGGCAGCGCCTGAGGAGCAGCCTGGCTTTGCCGAAACGGGTGTTGCCCGTGTCTGAGGCCCAGAGACGTTGGACCCTTTGTTCTCAAGAGGCCAGACATTGTCTGTGTCCACCTGAAGGTTCTGGAACGTTTGCTCTCGGAAGCTGCTTCTGCAGCAATAATAAGCCAAGACCACACTGGGGCAGACGGTCTTGAGCCAGCCCCGGCGCCCGCAGCCTCGCTCGTCTGGAGGACACACCCGGGCGGCAGCCGCCCCTTCTCCCGCTCCACGGCCATCCTCTCCTGCGCCCCCCACCCGCCACCTCCAAGGCCCCTGCACTGCTCCTGCCCTCAGCCTGGCCTCGCGCTGCCCTGCCCTGGCCCGTCCCCTGGAGGGCTCTCCCTGTCCCTGTCCACTCAGCCCTGGCCCTGCCCCTCTGCACACCGCCAGGCCTAGCAGCAGGCCTCGGCCAGCACTGGCCGCCTTGGCCACCCCGTCCTGGCCTCCTCTTCTCTGTGCCGCTCACCCTCCTCAGCTCCCCCCCCACCGCCAGCATCAGCTCACCTCAAGCCCAGCACTGCAAGCCCGGCTCCCCGCCCCAGCTCCCGGGGCTTTGCTGCCATCCCCCCAACCTCCCCCAGGCCCCAGGGCCTGAACTGGCCTTCCATCCCTCCCCAACCCCTCGGCTCAGGAGCCACCAGCAGGGTCGCGCAGGCACCCCTGCACCAGAGACACCCTCCCCCATCCTCACCCACAAAGCAGATTCTGAACCCCATTTCCTGACACCCCTGCCCAAGACCCCGAAAGCCCCAGGATGCAGCTCCGGCCTCTGGCCTCACACCACACCCACTGCTCGCCCATCCCCGCCCGATCTCCCGCCACTGCACCCCACCCCAGGGTGTCTCTATAACACCAGCAAGATCCTTGAGTACAGCCCCTCCGGGGCCGCAGCTCCGGGCCACACAGACCCCACAGCTGTGCCCACCACCCGCCGGCGCCTGCCCCGCTCGGCACATGCTCCCACCCGCGGGAGCTGGTCCGCGGGTGGACCACCCACCCCTCCTGCCCCGTGCCCCCAGACCCCGGCCTCACGGCCTCCCCTCCATCGGGGCCCCTGGAGGTCAGGGCCCAGCGGCAGGGCGGAGCCCGAGCTGGCAAAGCCGCTCACAGGTGTTTGGTGAGTGGAATAAACACCCGCGGGAGAGACCAGGGCTCACCTGCTCCCACTCCACCTCCCAGGCAGAGGAGGAGCCGCCTCTCCGGCAGCTGGAAGCACCCGGCCCCGCCCCGCCCGGAGCCGTCTTTGCTCCGAGGAAGAGAGTCTGGGGTTCCCTCGCAAAGGCCCAGTGGAGACGTTTCTGCCAGGCCCCGCCCCCTGCACCGGGGCGGGGGAGGTACCCTGACCACAGACCACCAGGAAGGCGGGAAATCCGGGACTTCGCAAGAGAGGACACGGCAGCAGCGGCTCGGGTGCGTCCTGCTGGAACAGAGGTGGCGAGGAGAACACAGCAAGGAGGACCTGGCGCTCTGGGATGGACAGCCTGGACCTCGGCGACAGGCGGAGACACCTGCTGACCGGCACAGCAGGGGGCCAGGCCCCCCACTCCACTGCCGGCCATGCACCCCCTTCTGCTCGGAGACCTCATCCATCCAAGGGCGATGGGGGGACCTTGGCACAGCGGTGGCACCCGGCAGATGACCGTCTGGCGTCACCACCCCTCGTCCTTTGGAAGCGTGCGCTGGCCGCTGAGCCCTCCCTGCCACGGCCCCGGCCAGTGCCAGCAGCCCCAGCCCCCCTGGACGTGCCGCGTGAGGGCTTGTCCCTGCGGGGTGCAGCCCCAGCTGGTGCCACCCTGCAGGGAGGGGGCGCCGTCCACTTTCACAGCCGCCGGCAGCGTGACCGGGTTCTCAAAACATCTCTCCTGGGTGCTTGGAAGAGACTGCGGGTCCCGTGTCCCGGCTGGGGAGACTCGTGTCCTGGGCCCAGCCTCGTGGCTCGCTTTGCTGAGAGCAGAAAAGGAAAATCACGCCAAGTGCCGGGTCTCGCATCTCCGGTTCCCCTCGGGAAGCCGGGAGGGGGGGCGGGACACGCAGATGAACACCGGGGCCCTCGCCCGCCGGACGGACCGGGGAGAAGGGTGCCTGGGCCGGCCGCGCTCTAGCCCGAGGCAGGAGGCAGCTGTTGACGTGAAAATTGTTTCCCACTGGCTTGGTTCTAAGATTTTTAAGAGGGCCGGGAGAGAATAAGATGTTGCCTTTATTCTTCTAAAGGATCGTTTTCCTAAGACGCCCGGACTTCCGCGCACAGCAACTCGGTTTCTTATTTTCTTTTGGGCCCCAGAGTAGACGGCTTTGGGCTGAAACTCAAAACAGCTTTTAGCAGCTCAGGCTCCCTGGAGCGCCCCCCACCCCTGACCCCCCCAGAGCGGGCAGGCCAGATGGGGAGAGGCAGTGCCTCAGATAAGGGGCCATGGGGGTGGACGGCCTGACGGGGCCGAGGTGACTGGCAGTGGCGTGGGTGGACCGCAGGGCACGCCTTCAGGGCATGCTGTGGGCAACGCATGTGGGGGCCTGGCGCGGCCTCTCCGAGGCTGGCGCTCACTCCGCACCCCGCGCCGCCGCGGGCACTGGGCTGGAGCTGGAGGCTCTGAGTCCTTCCACTCCGCGGCCTGGCCTGGGACAGGAGGCCCCGGGGCTGGCGCTTCCATATCCCCGGGTGGTGCTGGGGCTGCGGGCCCCAGGGGCGCATTACTGTGAAAGCCGTTCCTGGGGTAAAGGCACACCTGCTCCCTGGTGACACCCTCAGGGACGGGCAAACGGGCATGTCCACTGGAGACGACATTCGTGGTGACGGCTTCGCCCATGGCCCGGCCGGCCGCAGAAACACCCTTTGCACTCCGGGGCCTCTGCAGAGGCCTTTAGCGTGTGGCAGTGACCCCAGGCCTGCAACCCCGGCCAGGCCGCACAGCCCCGCTGGGCCTGGTGGGGCTCAGCACACCTTGCCAGGGAGCCCTGGCCACAGAGCCCAGCCCAGGGGACCCACAGACACTGTCCCGGGCCACGTGCTGGAACGGCCTCTCTCCCGCGAGCCGCCTGACTCGGCGGGGCAGCGGCCAGGAGGCTGTCGCCGAAACACACGGCCTCTCCCCGTCCATCTCTTTGCAGCCAGACAACCGTTGGCTCATTTCAGGCCGAGCTGGGGCTCCCGGGGCGGGAGGGCGGCGTGGCGGGCCCTGTCTCCAGCCCTCGCAGGCGAGGACCCCAGAGGAGGTCAGGCAGGTGCCCCGCTGGGCAGGGCTTTCCTGAGCACCTGATGGACCCCTCCCCACCCCACCCCCCAGCTGCCAGTGCCTTAAGGAGCGGCCGCGCCCTGCTGCCCCAGGATGAGCTGCAATACGGGGGGGTGACGGCTGGACTCTCCCCCCCCCCCCCGCAGGTGGCCCGGCAGCTGCAGCCCTCCGTGGTGTGGATCGGAGACACGGAGAAGACCTTCTACCGCAGGGTCCCCGCGGCCGACAGGACGGTGAGGGCTACGGGGGCTCCTCATGCCCGCGATCCCCCCCGGGGAGGGGGCCCAGGGCCCCTCCGGCCCCCACCAGGGGAAGGTCCTGTCTGGGGAAGGTCGTGCTTTGTCCAGGCGGGAGGGCGTGAGGGTGCTTGGGAGGGTCCCAGATCTGACATCATGAGGCAGAATTTAGAAGAAAATCAGGTGTGTGTGTGGGGTGGGGGAGGATGTTTTGGGGGGACAGTGGAGAGCGTCTGCTCAGCTAAAGCCGGCCCCGCATGTCTCCTGTTGCTCCCAGGAATAAATCACAAAAGGCCAGAAATTCAACAAAGGCCTCCCTGGGAAGGCCCCCCCCCAGCCCTCCTCCGATTGCTTCCTTCCTCCTTTTCTCTCCCTCGGGGTCCCCTGCCCGGCACTTCCTCCCTCCCACAAATCACCAGCAAATTTCCCACACGTTAAAAAAAATTTGCAGATAAACATGATTGTTATTCCACAGCAATTTGCACCAAAGCAAATAGTGGTTAACGGGGAATTTCTGATTAAATTCATAAGGATTTTAATCACTTTTGATCCTTATGTATTATGCATCGCGTCAGCAGGCGGGGTGACTTGGATTCAGGGTGGAAGCTCAGCTTTCCTTCCCCAGGGGGCCCGACCGCCCGTCCCTGTGGACCCGGGGAGAGGCCGGTTCATCCGCCCGGGCCGGGCCGCGCCCTCTGCTGGCGAAGTCGTGTGTTGCACGCGCGCACGCCGGGGAGGAGGAACCCGCGTCTCCTGCCAGGGGCGGTGCGGGTGGGGGTGCAGCGCAGCGTGCCCCCGCGAGGAGTCATCGCCTGGCGTCATCTCCAGCTGTGTCTCGGGCAGGCCAAGGGCTCTGACATCAGCCTGACAGCCGGGGCCCCTTGGGTTCCAGCCGGCCGCGCCCCTCGCTCGCTGGCTGAGTGTGGTGCCTGAGCAGCCTCCCCTCTCCGGGCGGGCTTCCTTGGCTCTGACATGAGAGCTGCAGGGAGCAGCCTCCGGGCCCATGAAGCCCCGGCCTTCAGCCGCTGCTCCTCTGCAAGTCCAGCCCCGGCGGGCAGGGCCGTGGGGCTGCAGGAGCACCGGAGCAGGGCTGACGGCCGGGGTGGAACAGGGGTTCAGCAGGCCCACAGAGGGGCAGGAGCCCCCACACCCAGAGCACACTGCGTGTGCCCCAGAGCCTCTCGGCGTGATCCCCACTGACATGGTCACCGCCTGGCTCTTTCCTGTGAAGTAACACCTTCGGTGGCTGGACCCTTGCTGTGGACCGCCTGGCCACGGGGCACATCCGCCTCTGCGTGGGGAGAGTGCCCGGGACATCCACCGCACTGAAGACCACTGGTCACAGCCTGGGTAACCCCAGAGGGCCTGGAGACCCCAGAATGTCCCCGGAACCCAAGCAGCCACAGGCCGGAAGGGTCTGAGCCAGCCTGGGTGCAGACGATGCTGCTGGACGCGCCTCGTCCCAGCAGCAGTCCCGGGCCACGGCACCCCAGCAGAGGGGAGCGTGAGAGGGACCAGCCGCCCTGGGACCGTGGTCCCTGCCCACCCACATGCCAGGCCTCCTGGAGGTGCACCCCCATGTCCTCTCTGCCTCACCGGGAAGCCCAGCGTCCTCTCTGCACCTGGCCCAGGTCCCGAAGGCCTCGGGTCCAGGGAAGGATGTCCAGCCGTGAAGAAACCAGGACGCTGCCGGCTGCTCACCCACAGCCACACACGGCACCCCGGGAAGTGCTGCCTGGATTGGAGGGAGCCCAGAATCACCCCCCTAAAAAACTCCTCGCTCCCTCAAGTGACTGACTCCGCCCAAATGCCACTCCCTTTAGGGTCAGGCCCCCTCGGTGGAGAGGCCACAGGCAAAGGCAAAGCAAGGCCCGACCCGGACGCCCCGCCTGGGCAGCCAGGCTCCCTGCTGCAGGGACTTGCCCGCCTCTGCTGGGCAGGAAGAAGCCCCGGGTCACCCTGCACATGTCAGGAGGCTCCAGCAGCCCAGAGGGAGGCAGCCTCTCGCCTGTTCACAGAAGATGACAAAGCCTCCCAGAGGGGCACAGCTGCCTAGAGGGGGTGCAGGGACCCCCGAATGCAGACGCCAAGCCCTCCCTGTGCCTGCCAGAGGACACAGTATATGAACCACCCGCTCCCCTTTCTTCCCCACAGCAGCTCCGACCACACCTGAGTCCTAGGACTGCCCCTGAGGACTGTCCATCTTAGAGATCCAGGCCTGCGGACTCCAAATCCCCCTCACACTGTCAACACTCTGGAGAGGCCATTCAGCCCCAGACAAGGACAAGTGCTCCCGGCCCCAGGACACCGGGCAGCCCCGCCCCCAGGGCAGCGCACCAGCCCTCCCGCCCGGCCCCAGAGGCAGGAGTGTTCCGGCTGCAGCGCGCATTCTGCTCCGTTACCCCCCCCACCCCCCCCACCCCCCCCCCACCCCCGCCTCCTCGTCCCGCAGGTGCCTTCGCCCACATCCGACGGGCTCTGCCGGGGAGCGCTGGCCTGTCGGGGCCGCTGCGGCGGGGGGCATGGAGCCCGACTGCAGGCTAGAATGGCTGCCAGGCTGCTGGGCCTGATTAGAAACTGCCCACAATACGGGGGTGAGGCACTGCCAGGGCTGCGGCGGGGAGACCCTGCGAAGGCTTCCAGGGGACATTGCGCAGCGAGCTGGGCCGATGGAGGAGCTCGCGGCCCTCAGCACGTGCAGGCGGCTCTGAACCGGGGCCTGGGGCCTGAGGGCCACGAGTGCTGAGCGAACAAACGCAGGCATCTCGCAGCCTCTTCCCTCCTCACGGGACTGCCCGCCGCCGTCAGGGAGGACGCCGCACAGGACGCTGCCCCGAGCAGCATTTGGCACCCAAACAGGCTCCCAGCCCAGGTGTCTCTGCCATCTCAGGACCCCCAGGCAGCAGGCCATCTCCCGCCGCAGAACAAGCCCGTGCCTGCTGGCGCCATGGCAACCAGGCTGCCGGGATGGGCTCTGACGGTGCAAGCGTCTCCAGCCCCTGGAGTGGCCTTGGCCCTGAGATCAGGCTTTTCCACCAGTCTCTGGGCAGCCCCCGTGCGCCCCCCACAGGGCCCCGCTCCCCCCTGCCACCGCCTCTGTCCTCCATTGAGCTCTGCAGAAGCCCGGTCCATTCCCGCCATCCCCGCTCCCTCCTCAGCCCACCCCCGCATGCTTGCTGCCCTCCGGTCTCTGAACACTGCGCTCACAAAGATCTTCTTTGACATCCACTTTGCCAAGGAGCACCTCGGTCCCCTGCCTGTCCCCTTCTGCCATGTTCCGCGTGGTGAAAGCACGCCGCCTTAGAAAACACGCCCTTCCCTGAGCTCCCACGACCCTCCCTCTCCCAGCTGCTCACACCCACCAGCACTTGCTTCTCTGTCTCCTTGGCACACACTACCCACCCTGCATTTGCACCGGTGCACCCTGGGGAGGGCCCAGCATGGGTGGCTTCTCAGGACTGAGCAGTTGACGGCGTCATCCACCAACATGGAAACTCACGGTAGCAACTCAGTCCTTCTGAGCTCTGCTGGCACCGTTGCTAGTGCCTGCCAGATCACAAAGTCCCAACTTTTCCTAACTCCCCCCTTTAAAAACTCTTATTCTTCAGTAGAACAGAGCTGGGACTGATTCCCCACCAGCGCAAATCTTTCAGAATAATTGCTAATGCAACTTTTTGTCAGACACCTTCTGCCACGTAACCCTCACAGCGCCCCATCCATCCATTATCATTGCCTCCTCTGCTCAGCTTCAGGGCGCCTGCCCCACATCACACAGCTGTGAAGAACAGAGCCGGGACGGGGCCACGTCTGTCTGACTGGAGTCTGTGCGTTCAGCACTGGCTACGTCATCAGCCAGACCCCTGGAGTGCCTTCCCTGGGCTTTTCCATTTTGCTAGAGACCTGGCCCCCAGGGAAGTTCAGACTCCAAACAAAGGCCCAGCAAACACCCTTCCCTGGGGTGGGTCTGAGTGAGGCCGATTTCTGCAAGAACCTGGAGCAGGCCTTTGGGAGCATCCGTTTCCATAGTGCCCCACCAGCAAGCCCCTCCTCTTGCGGTCAGGAGGCCCCACTTCCGCGGCCTCAGGAGTCTCACCCCAGATCATCCCTCTCTGTGCTTTGCTCTTCACTTAAGCTCCTCTGTCCTCCTCAGCCCCACCACCCCCCATGCTCCCCGGGTGGGCTCAGTAGGGCCTGCCCTACCTCCCAATGGAGCAGAGCAGACCCTGGACGCCTGTGGGTACGGGTAGAAATGACAGCAAGATGCCTGGTGGTCTGGCCTCGCAGAGGACATGACCTTGGACACAGATCATTCTGAGACATCCCCTAAAAAGTTAAAACTAATAAATAACTTCAGTAAGGTTGCAGAATAGACTGTCAATATACAAAAAGCAATTTTATTTCTATATATTTGTAACAAAAAATCAAAAACTTAAATGAAGAAAAGAATCCAATCAAAAAAATAAAATACTTAGGAACAAATCCAGCAAAGTGCAAGACTGCTCTGAAAATGATGATGACATTGTTGAAGATGTTAAGGAAAACCTAGACATGTGGACAGATGCTTCACGTTCATTGGAGGAAAAACGTCTAAGACGGCAATCACCCCCAAACTGATGTGCAAAGTCAAAGCAGCCCCACCCAAGTTCAAGCTGATTTATCTGAAATAGATATAATACTTCATATGGAAATTCAAGGGACCCACAAGAGCTCAGTAATCTTTAAAAAGAACAGAGTTGGGAGACTGATGGTTCCCAATTACAAAGCCGCAGAAGTCAGGACAGTGTGCAGTAGCACAAGGAGAGACATACACATCAATGGACTGGAATTGAGGGTCCAGAAATAAACCCTGACATTTCCCAGCTGTTGATTTTTTTGACAAAGGTGCCAAGACCATTCAATGGATAAAAAATAGTCTCTGCAACAAATGGAGCTGGGTCCACAGGATAGACACCTGTAAAATAATGAAGGGGACCCCTACCTCACACTGTATAGAAAAGTCAAGCACAATGCATCAAAGATCTAAAAGTAAGAGCTAAAACTATAAAAACACTTAGAAGAAAATAGAAGCATAAACCCTCGTGACCTTGGATTAAGCAATAGTGTCTTAGATATGACTCCAGGATGACAGGCAGCCCAAGAAATATTAAATTGCACCTCGTCAAAAAATAAAAGCATTTTTGCTATGAAAGGACACCATCAAGAAACTAAAAGGACAAACCTTAGAATGGGAGAAAATATTTGCATGTATCTGATCAGGCACTTGCGTCTTGAACCATAAAGAACTCTCACAAGTCAATAATAAAAGGACCACCCAATTAAAAAGTTGGCAGTGGATCTGAATACGTGTTTTTCCAAAGAGGTTGTACAAAGGGCCAATAAGCGCATGAAATTATGCTGAACATCATGAGTCCTCAGGAAGATACAAACCAGAACCGCAGTGAGATACCACTTCGTGCCCACTAGGGTGACTAGAATCAAAGAGAAAAAGAAAAACAGACAACAAGTATTGTCAAGGACAATGAGAAACTTGAACCTTTGTACTCTGCTGGTCGGATTGTAAAACGGTGCAGCCACTTGGGGAAACAGTTTGACAGTTCTTCAAAAGGTTAGACATCCGGTAACCGTATGACCCAGCAATTCAATGCCTGGGTATACACCCAAGAGAAATGAAAATATGTGTCCACAAAAATCCTGTGCGTAAATGTTTCACAGCAGCTGAAGTCACAATAGCAGACGAGCGGGAACAAATCAAACATCACCAGCTGATGGACGGAGAGGTGAATGCAGCGCCTCCGTGGGCACGGCCCTCCGCAGCTGATGTGGCGTGGGCCAGGCCGAAAGTACGATGCTAAGTGAAGAACACACACGCTGCACGGCACGCAGGGTATGATTCTGCTTGTAGGAAACATCCGGAATGCACAAATCCTTAGGACCAAAAGTAGACTCGTGGGGTTGCCTGAGACTGGAGAAGAGGTTTGGGGGGAAAAAAAGGAAGTGCTCTACGATCAACCGTGGTGGTGTTGCACAACTCCCCACTAATAACATAAGCCGCTGAATTACAGGCTACGTGACATCTCAGCAAGGCTGCCACCAAGCCCTCCACTGAGATGGGCTCTTCCCGAGGAAGGGCGCTTGGGCTTTGGGGGAGACCCGCAGTGCCCCGACAACCTCTCTCAACAAGGAGGTGGCCCCAGAGAAGGAGGACGAGGCTCTGGCGTGGCTGCCTCCATGTTCAGCGCCGGGTCTGTCCAGGTTCGGGTTGTCCGCCCGGCTCCATCTCTCGTGAGTCACGAGCCACGGCCCGATGCCCGTGTCCACCTCTCCGAGCCGCGGAGGGCGCGAGCAGGTCTGCGCCCGGCAAGCCCGCGGCAGCTGCTGTCGTGGCAGTGTCCGGGGGTCCTTGCAGGCTGCGAAGGAGCAGGCAAGCGCGAGACAGACGTGAACTCATAACACGCGCCCGCCCTGGCTACACGGGAGGGGCCCGGCCCTGCGGGATGCCTTTCCCGTGGCTTCATGCAGACAGCTCCGCCGAGACGGGGGCCTGTGAGGAGAGGGGGGAAGCTCAGTGAGGGAGTTTACAGGCAGTCGCCGCAGACAAAGCTCGCAGATGAAGCTCTGCCTCCTCCGTGGAAGAGACGAGGCGATCGGGTCGTCCTGGGGGCGCCCCGGACAGAGTTTATTTTCTTTTTCCACAATTGCCCCATCACCTTCCATGACATCCCTGTGTCCCGTCCTCTCTCCCTCCTCCTCCCTAACCCCGGAATCCTGAGATCGTTCATTAATGTCGGCTGGGTTTGTGCAGGTATTTTACTTTGTCAAACCGTCCGCCATGGAAAGGTCCAGGATTTGTCTTTGTCACCCTGACTGCCGTCACTTTGTCATTTCTGACGTGCATTGTTCCCTCTAACTGCGTCGCTCCCTCCCTCCACGTTGCTCTCACTGACTGCGGCTCATCCCTCCTTGTGATGGAACAGCCGTCCGCGGCGTGGACACGCCAACCTGCTCGATCCCGTCACCTGTTGACGGACATCTAGGCCTCTCCCACGTCCTCCCTGTTGTAAATTATGCCGCGATAAACCACGCAGGGATTTTTGCACGGCCGGTTGCATGTTCTGAGGAGGGGCGCCCAAGGGTAGAACTGCCGGGTCATGTATTTCCCTCCTTAGTTTTTAAGGTAAATTCAAATCTATTCCCATAATGGCCGTCACAGTTGAGATGCCTGTGCAAGGAGTGCTGAGGCCCCTGCTTCTCGGCGCCCGGCCCTGAGGCTGGGCCCTGCTGGTCTCACAGGGAGCAGGTGGCATCTCTGGCTTTTCCTGCATCTCTCCCATTAGAAGTGAGGAAGAACATTTTTTCACATAACTACTGGCCTTCGGAATAGTCTTTGGTGAATGTTACATAAATATATCAAAAGCAAGCTCCACCCCGCCTCAGAGCCCCACCCATTCCATCAGCCTTTTGGCCAGGAAGGTCTCTGGGGTGACAGATTCCGCTCACTGTGCCGCTGACGAGCGGCGTTAAGCTTGAAGGCCCCTCGCCGGCCTGGGTGCAGCAAGTACAGTGCAAGGTCAGATGGAACTAAGTCCGTCCTGAACCTGGAGGTCAAGGCAAGTCCCCCTTCCTGCCTTGTTGGAGCCGAAGCCCCCCCGGTTTGGCGACTTCCCATAGAACTTTCCTCCCAAAGGCCCCTGGGATCCTGCTCTCCCCTGTCCTCCCTCCTTCCTGCCACCTGTCAACCCAGGCGCTGAGCTTGCCTTTTCGGCGGTGAGGAGGGCGGCAAACCATCCCCGTGGGCGCTGTGCGGCAAGAGCCTCAGAGTGGGGCGCGGGTACCCCATGCTCCCACACCCTCCCACGTGCACCCGGTGGCCCCGGCCCCTCCTGGAAAGCCTGCTCTCGTCTCTCCCCTCGCTGTTCCTCACCCCTCCGTCCGAGCCACACTCGCCGCTCCACCTGCAGAGCAGTTTGGGGATCCGAGTGACTCCCAGCTCTGCAGGCCAGGGGGGTCCATAGCACGTGCTGTCCTGACCCGCAGGCCCCACAGATCCACAGCACTCGGGCCCCTGCCCGCCAGTGTGGCCCCACGCTCCTGCGCGTGCTCGTTCCCTGGGGTGGGGTCCACGGCGAGCCCAGCCCTTCCCTCCCCGGCCGCCCACGGTCTCTCCCCGCGGCCCCACGAGCGCCGGGCCGGGCCGGGCCTCTTTCTCTCTCTGGCTCAACCAGCAGATGCGACGGGCTCGTCTGCCCCTGCGTCCAGCGGGAGCGAAAACAGCGAAGCCGCTGGCAGGGTGTCTCGGGGAGGCCCGGTCACCCTGGCATCTTCCTTCCCACGCTTCCTCTGGGCTCTGCCAGGCGAGGTTCGTGGACAGCAGGTGTGTTGCCATGGCAACGTGGCCGCCTCTGCGCCCCGAGGGCTGGCGTCTCCCTCCCGAGGCTCACATCCTGCTCCTCTCCCTCATTAGCGCCGAGACCAGCTAAAATACCGCAGGCTCCGTCCACCTGCACAGCGCTTCAGAGAGGAGAGTCCCGGCTTACGTAACGGGGTTTCAGACCCGAGTCCGGGGCGGCCCGCCCCGCTGAGGCAAAGGCAACAAAATCTGGGGTCGCCTTCAAACACCACCTGAGCGGCCCAAGGGGCGGGGGAGCCCGGCCAGCTTCCTCGGCCAGGTCGCGTCCTGGGGGCTAAGGTGCTAGAATGTTCCGTCAGGGCCTGCCTGCCTCCCTCCTTTCCAAATCCCAGCACCAGAGACTCTGGCGCGAAACCCTCCCCCAGCTGAGCAGCGCAGCCACCCCGGGACACACGCGGCCTTGCAGGGCTGGGAAGGCGCTGAGACGCGTGCGCCGCCGGGCGCCCCGGAGGGGCTTCTTCATCTCTTTGCTCTCCCGCGGGTGGACTCAGCCTCCCTCTCCCTGTCTCCCAGCTTGAGCCCAAGCGCCTGAAAAAACAGCTGCCCCAAATCCTGAAGCTCCTGCGGCCGGATGACAGGATCCTGGTCGTGGGCACGACGCGGCGGCCCTTCGATGCGGAGCTGCAGTCTTTCTGCAAGTTTTACCAAAAAATCATTCTGGTGCCCAGACCAGACTACGCATCCCGATATGGCAAGTGCCCCCAGCCCCGCCCTTCCCGTGTGGGTGACTGAGGGGGCACGGCGAGGCGGGGTGGTGGCGGGGCGGTGTGATGGCGGGTGGGCCTCCCACCCACTCCTCGGCAGCAGGCAGGTAAGCAAGGCGTGGCACTGCCAGGTGTGGGCACCTGGACACCAGGGCTGGGCAAACCGCAGGGTCATGGGGGGAGACGGGCGTCTGGCCTGTCGTCACATATTTCTTTCTCCCCCAGGCAGAAGGGGGCTGCAGAGGGTGATTCTTTTTGGCCCGGAAGCTGGGCAAAGCCTGTGGGTGCTGATTTCTCTGCCACGGGCACTGCCCAGCTGCAGCAGTGCATGGTGTCTCCCCTCAGGTGCCACTTCTTTGCTGGGGGTGGGACCGTTTCTTCCCAGCCTCGCGCTAGCCCAGCATCGTGCTGACCTCCCAGGAGGCGGTGCCACGGGGGCCCGGGAGCCTGGGTGCAGTGGGTCAGTGTGATAGACGGGGACAGACACGAGTGTGGGCTCAGTGTCTGTCCGTCTCCCCCAGTCCCATCCGCTCCACCGTGCAGGGAGGGCCGCGCGCCAGCGGGCCGGGACCATGGAGGATTCCCGTTCCTGACTGGCCGCCGCCTGCCTCCTTGCCCCTCTTGGCCTCTTCTTCCGTGCTACAGCCTGACCTTCCGCTGTGGTCAGTCACTTCTAGTCGACAAACCACGGGCCCTTTGGAAACAAAACTTTGGACGGACAAGAAGACAGCTGCGTCCTTCCTCCTCCGTCCGTTGGATTCTGGCTCCTCACGGGTTTTCGGGGAGATGCCCCCCCGGGCAGGTGACAGACCTGCAGACAGGTGGCCCCAGCCCCGGGCTCTGTCCACGAAGCCATGGGCGCCTCCCATCTCTCCGGGAGGGCAGCTCATTCAGGCCGCCACCCGCCGACAGCACCCGCGCGCCCAGCCCTTCCTCCAGTGAAGCTTCACAGTCACCCGCCGCGGCTGGGGCGTCTGCCTGGGAGAAGGGCTGTCCCCCCCTTTGCCGCAATCCAGGGGGTCCCGCCCAGCCCTCCACGCAGCGGCTGCGGATCCTTCACCTGGGCCTCTGCTCCGCGGCGGAGCCCCAAGCTGTGCGAGACACCGACCACCCGCCCTCCCCGCCTCCAGCAGCGCGGGGAGCAACGGGGGAACAACAGGGCCGGGAACAAGGGCCCCTCTGCCAGGGGCACAGTTTTAAGGTTCACCCAGTGTGACTCAGCATCTGCCTCCTTCCCCAAATCAAGCTGTTCCTTCAAAATGTCTGCAAGGAACATCCACCCACAAGGTTGATTAATGCCTTATCTGGTGCCCAGAAGCCCCTTGGGCTGCCTTCCCTCCATGCTCGCAATGCCCCCTCCTCTCCTCCCTGGGGTCCGCTCGCTGATAACCCCGTTCATGACGGGACCCAGAGTCTGCTCGCGGGAACCCAGCCCACGACTTCCGATTGTTCTGGATTCCAGGTTTCAGAGGCCAGAGCGCATCCGAACCACACTGCTCACTTCTTGTGCTTTGTAAACTCCCAAATGAAAAAGAAATGTTGGGGTGCTGCCTTCTCCGGAGCACTGGCCACGACAGAACCAGACCGTCCAACGCAGAGGGGCCAACCCCAGGATCTCGCAGTTGCAAAGCGGGTCTGCAGCGCGGCCTTCAGCCCTCGCCATCCCGGCGCGGTCCTCCCTGGCTGTCCACCCGCAAGCCTGGGGGCTCCAACGCATCCCGGGTCAGCGACTCGCCTCCAGCTCTGGTGCTGGCCGTGGGGTCCCACCTCCACAAGCCGCCGCACCCCTGCCCGCTCGGTGGCTCCATAATCGCAGTAGAAGCCGTTCTTTTGGGTGTGTCCGACGAGAAGAGGCCGAGTCTCCCCCCGTCTGCCTCTGGAGCCGGCTGTGGCCAGGCAGGCCCGCCCCCTGAAACCACCCTGAGCAGTGAGCTTTGGGGGTCCCATGCTGGTGTGCTCGAAGCGCCCGGTCCGAGACGCCGCATGGCTTCAAGCGCCGTTCCTTTCGGCATCAGTCAGTTTCACGGCGGTCGGTCCCAGGGCAAGCAGTTTTCAGCCCGTCCCTAGCAAGCCTTTCCCACTGGGGAGACCTCGAGCAGGAGGCAGGACAGCTGGGGCTGCTGGAACTTGGCGGGGGGCAGCTGAGCTTGTGCCAGGGAACCCCGGGACTCCCTACTTGCCCCCTGCCTGGCTCCCCCCAAGCCGCCCCAGGAGTCTCAGCTGTCCATGCCCAAGACTGAGGCTGCTCTGGCTCCCAACTTGGGGCACCTAGGAGTCCCCCACTTGCAGAGGCCGTCCTGTGACCTCCCATGCTAGGGGTTCCCTTCTCTGCCTCCAGGTCACCCCCAGATCAGCTTGTGCTTTGTTCAGACGAGAAGCGGGACACTGGGTCTGCAAGAAGGCCGCCTGGCTTGCAGGGCGGGCCTGAGGTCCGGGTCTGACTCCGCCCCAAGAGGGGCTCGCCTGCTGCGAGCTGTCGTCACACAAATGCACCTAGAAAGACCCCGTCATCTGTTTTGTGCCGCCTTTTGTAGCTGACGTCTTAATGAGTATCTGGAAGCTTCAGTGCCAAATGGAACTACTGACAACTGGAAAGGCAAAGCCAGTCCCCTGTGTCCACCTGCAGGCCCCAAGGTGGGACCGGAAGGGGCAGGGCTGGTGCAGGGGACATGTGTTGCTTTCGGGCCGGTCTGGAGCCCCTCTGGTCCTCGAGGCCAAGTATTCGCTGTGGCCCCGAGGCAGAAGCTCTCCTGCCCCGGGTGGGGCTCAGGACCTGCACCAGAGAGGACTTGGGGAAATCACAGGGTAACCCGTGACCCACCGGCCAGTCTCTGTGTGGCTCCAAGGAGCTCTGCAGGCCCTCCTGGCCGAGCCGGCAGCAGACGAGTGGGTCAGGGTCTGGGCAGCACGGGCACTGAGTGCACGGGGCCCTCTATGCCCAGGTCGTGCCGTAGAGGGGTTTACGCACTGCCGCCAGTATTCCTCAGGAGGGCCTGCGCGCGTTAGGGACGTTTGCCAGATCTCGCTGCCAAGACCAACCAGGATCGAGGGCCGCACACCCCCTCACACCAGGCTGCAGCTGGCCCCACCACACCCACTCACTCCTGCCCTGCAGCTGATACAGGGCAGCAAGGGGCACTAAAACTGGCCAAGGACACTGCCCAAAGTGACACTACCGGTCACTGAGCTCTTCACCCCAGCACACAGTTGCAAGACTGCTCAGGCCCAGAAAACAACAGCAATGGGATTTATTTTACAAACCAAGGAAAACAAAGAGTTACGGAGGCCAAAAATGGCCATTTACCTCACCCAAAGCCATGTCCAGTGTTTTCTTTTAAACAAAAGCAGCTAAGATGGCGTCTTCCTGCCACTGCAGACACACGGCAGCCAGACTCCATGCCAGGTTCCACCTCACGAAGACAGCAGAAGACACGGCAGGAGGCGCGCCCGGAGCTGCCGGGACCCCCCAGCGAGCACCCGACAAGCGACACTCAGACGGCAGCTGCAGCGGCTGACCAATCCGACAAACGGGCCTACTCACCGCTCAGCGAGGCGCGGCTCCGGGTCTCTGGCTTCCCTGCCGGGCGGCAACAGCACCACACCCGCAACAGTGTCAGCTGCTCGGCTACTTGCAAAGCCTCCAAACTTGTCCTCTCTGAGGTTGGCTGCCGGAGGCTCCGCACCTCCTGAGGCCCGCCACGGCCTTCTGCAAGATCGGCGCGGCGGGGCCGGAATCGCTGACCCTGGAAATGCTGAATCCCAAAGCTGAATAACCTCCGCTTCTCCTGCAGTCCTGCATGACCCCAACATGCGATGCTCTGGCATTTTCCCTGGGGCTGTCTATCCTCACCAGCAACCCCTCCAGGGGGCACCGCCTGTGCAGCCTTGGCCTCAGCCACCGGCAGCGCAGCCTCCCTTTACGAAACAGGCGTCGTCCTCCAGCGTGACGCCACGTCCAAGGCCGTGTGGTGTCCTCTGCCCGGCGCCAAGTAAACCACAGGAGCAGTCCCGTGGTTCATTGTCACGGCACCCTGGGAGTCACTGTTACCCCCCCGGTCTCAGGAGCCCAAAGAAGCGACAGGCTGCTGTCGGGCAGGCGTCCAGGCACGCCAGGGGCATCTGCAGGGCAGGGGGCTCTGTTTTGCACAGCGTGTGGCGCAGCATCTCAGACCGCGCGGGAACGGGAAGCAGCTTCCCAAACCCGCAGGGAACCACCGCGAGGAGGGAAGTTTGTGACTAAGCCCCTCCTCGAGTCAACTCCCGCTGACCTACCCAGGCATTGTGGAAAATAGTGTCTGGTAAGCAGTGACCCCACATGTGAGCTTCCACCCTTGAAAGCTTTTGAACACCCCTGAGCGGCCATGCGAAGGCCCGTCTCCCGTCCCAGCTGGGGGCTCGGAGCGGGCGAGGACGCAGGGGGACGCTGGTGGCGGCCTTCTGCTCATCTGGGTCACATGGTCTTGCCAAGCCCAACTTTGTGCCCAGAACTGGCCTCGTCCCCCATTTCCTGAGCGTTGTGACCCTTGTTCTCTCTTCCCCCCATCTTGGACACAACAGTCCTGTGGAAAGAAATCATCCAGCGCAACGGGGGCGTGCTGAGCAACTCCCTGAACGTCAGCTGCCTGGCCAAGGTCAGCGATGGCTTCACCCCCGGGCACATGGTCCACGTGGTGCGGAGCGTGCTCACCGATCGCAGGGTCCGGCAGCAAAGCCGCAAACCGCTCACCGCCGGCGAGTTCATCTCGGCGCTGACCAGCATGGAGCCCGTGTACCAGGAGGAGGAGGACAGCTTCAAGGTGAGCGTCACCCCCGCGCCAGCCCAGCCCGCGTGCCACCGCTTCTGGCTTCCTGAGGCCCATGAGGGCGAGCCAGAAACAATGAGATTTCAAGACTTGGTTTTGGGGATCACAAAATCTTTTTAGCCTTAGCAGTAGAGGAGTCTTTCAACTTTTAAAAAAATCATGATTTATAACCTTATAAATTAACCGTAACCAAATTGCAGAATGGAGTAGCAGGTCAAAACCACTGGTTCACACCCACACACACAGGTGTGCACAGACACATGTAAGTATGTGCAAGCATGCTTGACATCACACACCTGTGCACATGTGTGCACTGAGACACACCTTCACACATGTATGTGCCCACACACACGGGCACATACCCCCTTTTTTTGTTTGTCACTGGTTTCTACTTGTATTTCATCTAATGGAACAAGTTTGGCACAGAGAAAACCATTCCATCAATCATGGATTTCGATTCAGCACTGCTCTTGCTCAGTGTTTGCCGCCACACACTTCATTTCTCAGTGCACTTGCAATAGGAAGTCACAAGAGAAATCACCAAAATTAATTCTCTAATTTGCTAATACATTCTGAGAGGCACACAGACATTTTTCAGTCTAGAGAAAATTTTTAAGACTCTCCTTATCCAAGTCCCTCTGTTAAGGAGGAGTCGAGTCGCAGACAACTGGTGCCTGCACCCAAGCATGGGGGTCACTGTGCCTGCTCCCTGTCCAGGCTGCAGTTGCTCCGCAGGCTGCCCACCCCCTTCCATCAAAATGGAAACAGGTGCACACCCTTTCTGCACCCAGAGGTCTTTTCTTTAAGCAACTAGAAACACAAGGGAGGAAAATTACATCCCTGCAGTCACACCCATTGCAATGTTGGCCACACAACGAGCAGGACAGAATCAGAATTCCCTTTCACACCGCATGTCTCTGGAAGCCTCCTTAAGAGGAGGGAACCTCTTGTACTATGAAAGTTCTCAGATTAAAGCAAACTCCAAATAACCAGCAGAAGAAATAAATCCACACCTACATACAGTATTGTAAACCTGAGAACAAGGCAGTGGCCCACTCTTAAAAGACAACAGATAGCAACAAAGAAATGACACTCGAGAAATCAGACAGCTCTTTCAAAGAATAAATGCCAGAAGACAGGGAGGTAACATCCGCCAAGCACTGAGGACAGACAGCTCTACTTGAAGTTGATATCCAGCTAAGCTAGCAGCCAAGAGACAGACATTCTCTTAAGAATGCCTCAAGACATTCAAAAACTGAGCTCACTTCCCATTCAAGGCCACTTCAAAGAGCAACTCAGAAATCTCAAAACTGAAGATGCTCATGTCCTGCACCCACAGGAATTCCATTTATCTCTGTGCCCTAGAGAAGTTTTCTCAGATGTGTACAAGAAGATATGTAAAAAATTGCTATTTTCAACATTGTTCACAATGACAAAAAGTGGAAAAGGACTACATGTCCATTAATGGAAGAATTCATAAATAATGTTGTATAGTCATTCAATGAATTGCTACTACCATGCAGCTATAAACCCAAAGTGTTTCTCAGGTTTCAAATAAAATGAGAAGGTTAAAGGGAAAATGCTGCCTCAGAGCCAGCTGCAATCACTAAGTGTTTTGCTGGTATCTTGGTATTTTCACCTGTTTCCAGTCATCTCCCCAGAGCGGCTGAAGGGTCTCCCACAACGCACACCTGACCACAGGTCCAGCTTCCAGTGGTATGTGTGAACCAAGGCGGAGGGAGCAGTCACAGGACAAAAACAAAAACACAGGAGTAAAGTCCCCAAGAGGAAGGTGACTTCGGGAGGAAGTGTTGTTGGTTAGAGTTGGCCTGTGATTCCCTGAAACGTACAACACCTTGAGGTAGAAGTTTCAAATCATATAGAATTACAGCTTGAAAACCTCCCCTGAGAAAGAATTTATAGTAAATATTTGTCAAATGCCCAAAGTTTAATGCCTGCCTGCCCTGCCCTTCCTAGCAAGGTTATCTTTATATTTGAGAGTATTCCAGTGAACCACTGCAATTTTGATATTTTCCTAAACATCTATTTTATTTTAGGACTGGTACACCAAAACCCCAATGGGGAAGCGGAGAGCGTTGGCGCTGACTGGAGGTAAAGCAGAAAAAGAAAAGGAGAATGGAAAAAAGAAGGCAAAGCCAGGGAAAAAGAAAAAGTAACGCCTTTGTAAGGCATTGAGTCAATGCCCTGAGTCCCTCCCAGAGTGGCGGTGACCCCAGCTCTGCAGGGAGAAGATTCACCATCGCCTGTCGGAAGGTCACGCTCATCAGCCCCTGCACCTGCTCACTTAGACTTCGGTTGGCCTCACACCCAGTTAGTTTTCCACCACGATTATTCTAGAGTCTGTCATTGTTTTCCTATCCATGTGAAGTTGGTACATAGCCAAAACTCAGTCTTCACGTGCTCCACGACTTCTCCCAGTAGGACCCTTCATCTCATCAGCACTAACTGCCAGATTTAAAATTTGATAGAAAGTACTCTTAACTTGTCAGCTAGTAAGTGACTTAAGTCTATCGTCGGTACACTAGCTTTTTATTACTCCATATATACTGTATATTATCTTGCACATATTTTAATAAATTAATTCTTTGCTCTATTAGTATAATTCTGTAATGGAATAAAAACTGTTGTTCCTTGAACTGACTCAGTCATTTGGTTGCTGGAGCTGAAAAAAGATCTTTAATATTAACTGTTCAATCTTCTGGCTTTGGAGATGGGAGAGCTGAGGTCCAAGGTCACACTGCTGACATGTGCAACGTTGCAACTGAAGTCTTTGCCTCTTCATGCCCAGCCTGTGGTCCTACGCCGCCCCGGGACCCTGGCAGGCCAAGGGCCGGCAAGAGGCGCTCCTGAAAGGGCAAATGTGGACCAGAGGCAGCCTGAAGGAAGAAGTGCCAGATAAGAGCAAGATCACAGAATAGAAAAGTAAGGGCTGAAAATAAATTGAAATTATGCAAGAATATGAAAGGTTATTTGGAGGGAGAGCCAGTAACCCATTCTAAGTTGTGGCCAGAACATCATCAGAGGAAAGAGTCTTGACTGAGGCGGAATGAACATAAGCTGAAATCTAATAGCACAGTGAGTGGTTTTCGGTTCTGCATGGAAAGTAGGCCCTCTCCTAGTCTGTCCTCCAAGCCAGCCCTCCTGCTTTGCCAGGGATGCCCAGGAGGCTGGATCTCTGATGCCCACGACCATCCTGGGTGTCTTTAGCCTGTGCCTGTGCAGGAGACCAATTCAAATCGGGCAGAGAGAGAAGCCATCGGCCCGTGAGCTCAGGATAGTGCATCCCAGAGGCAGCGCCCCCTAGCCCTCCACGCAACCAGACCCTGCTCTCCGATCGCCCTGCCATCGGCCTTCCTTCTCCTGCCAAAGACCGTGGGCCTCACCCGCTACAGACTGTGTCTGGCAAAGACCCCAAGCAGCCTGAGTGTTGGCCAGACCCCCCACCCTGACTCAGAGAGCCTGTTAACTCACCTCTCTCAATTGTGGGACTGAGCTCCTTCCTTTCACGTCGGGGAGAACATACCCTCAGCCATGACTCCAGAATATCAAGACTCTAGGATTTGACGTTCATCACAAAATCACAAGGTCTGGATTGTTTGAAGAAATGAGAAGCATGAGGGGCATCAAGGGCTCACTCTTTCTGGAACACACTCATGTGGTGAGGACTCACCTGAGACGCAACATCCGTGCTGCCTTGTCCTCACAACATCCCGCCCGTCCTGGTGCTGTGTGTTCACTTAGCCCCACGAGGTCCGCGTCCACACCACCTGCTTACCCAGACCTGCTCCCTCCCACCCAGCGGCTGGTCCCGCTCACTGATGCTCGCTGCCATCCACTGAGCAGCCCTCCTGGGCCCTTGTGACACTCACAAGAGCCACCCACTGTCGTGCAGCCCAGGAGGCCTGCACCCCGGCCTCCTCTGTATCATGCAGATGGATGTGTCTACACGCACATACAAATATCCTCCGTTTTACACCAGTGGTGACTGCACATTGATTGTGTTCCACCCCCAGCTCTTTCTACTTAATAACAGATCTTGGCTATTTTTCCTACGTGCAACATCAACAGCCTCGTCTTGTACTAGCTGCCAAAGGCCCCACTTTCTGGACACGCCATTATGGATTTCACCCGCCCACCCTTTGGCAGACATTCAGGCTCACCCACCCCTGCCAGCCCACAGCCGCCCCCTGCACACCTTAGCACGTCCGCCTAGTGGGACTGCAGGGGGTCTTCCGTGCAAACAATTCCCGGGACAGAGTGAATGGCCAAATGACCTGCGCAGCTTTCATTTGGGTGACACTTGCCAGGTTGTTCTGGAAAGAGCTCGGTGCCCAGCTTGCAGAGAAACACGCACGTTACAGTCTACAGGCAGGTGAGCCATATTTAAAATCCCAAGTCCCCGGCGAGAGGCGGCGTGCGCCAACACTCCCTTTGTAACTGACAGGAGAGACCACAGCCGAAGGGAGGGGCAGCGGGGAGGGTAGAGCTGGGGGCAGAGGGTGCTGGCTGGCGGAGCATGGGGGAGGCAGTTCTTCCCCAGCGTTCTGCCGGCCCCGGCTGTTCCCGGGCCATCGGGTGACAATTAGCTCCTCTTGAGTGTGTCCTTAAGTGAAGGCGGCCGTCATTAATGGCATGAATCCTCGTTAAGGGACGTACGATAGACTAGAAGCTGATCCAAGTGAAATTATGGGTCTCGGGTCTCTGCTCCCGCTGGGGAGCCAGCAGGTCCCTGGTCTAGACCCCTGGGTGGCACCGTGGAGCCTCACAGATGCTCGGGGACAAGGAGCTTTGACAACCCCTCTGTCCAGCAGCGCGAGCTGAGAACAGCCTGGTGCTCGCAGATCTGCTTTGGGGGCCTTTCCTAAGCTCGTGCCCACACCTCACACAAAGGCCCCGGGGCGACTTCACAGAAGACGTGCTGTCCTCTGCCGCTCGTGACACCAAAGGCCCCAAAGCTCTGAAAGAAGTGGCTTCCACATCCCTGAGAGTCTTCAGGTTGAAGAATGGTGGGGAGATGCAAAGCAGAGGGAACGAGGCCCTCTGGAAAGCAACTTGGCAGCTGCCTGCACTGTGGCCAGGAAACCAGAAGGCCCCGCCCTTCACGTCACGGGGCTGGTCGTGAGGCGTCCGGCAGGACAAGAACTGACGCCAAACCAGCCGAAACCTGGTCTCCCCACACACACGGGGCAGCAGCCCACCTGCCCTGGTTGGGGTCTCCGAGCCTCTGCCCTGGCTTGGGGGTCTCCAGAGCCTCCCCTGGCTTGGGGGTCTCCAGAGCCTCCCTATGCACAGAACCTGCCCCCGCAGGTGAGCCTGGTGCTTGATCAAACAACCAGGGCCGGACACCTCCTCCCTCTTGACAAACAGATTTTGCTTCCAGTGGAAAAGAATCGATTCAGTCTCCCCAACTTTCCCAATTTTCGAGAATTCTACAACAGACACATCAGCTGATGGGGAAGGCGCCTTTACACAAAACAGTTAGCCGCGGACTTCAAAGGGCTCTGGAAGGTAAATTTAATTACCTCCTCCCCAACAAGACGCGCAGCACACCTTCGCCTGGCTTTTGTGTGTGTATTTATATTAAACACAATGCCCGCGGCCTGGGACATTAGTATTTCTCTTCGCCCCATTGAAAATATGAGTGCGCGGGGACTGGCCGGAGCAAATTATAATGCACCCAGCAGGGCCTTTTGTTACGCAGCCTTCAAAGGTGCTGCCTGCCTGGCCCGCTGAAAGCCGAGGGCCCACCGGGGCTCATTGGCCACCTCTACCCCAAGTTGGTCTTGCAAATTATTTCTGCCCTATGCAGAGAGTCCTTTTATTTTCTTCGTGGCGTCAGTGACTTTGAATCTTGCATATACACACTCACGCAGAGGAAGCATCTCTGTGCTCCGGATTAAACAGCGCGTATGATAATGAGCGACGGGAATTGCAGTGACTGCGGGTTTGTGCTTGTCCCTGGAGCGCGTGGGCGCCATGTCTAGTGGGGAGGACTCGAGGGCCAGGCTCGGTTTGCTCCAGAAGAGGCTGGCGGGGCCGCCCTCCAAAGGCCCCAGCCGGACTTGGCTGTGACCAGGGGCCTGCGCCCAGCTCCTACATGGGTGTGTGCGGGGGTTTGCTCCTGGGAATTTTGGCCCTTCACTGAGCGGTGCCCGAACACCCAATGCCAGGGTCGTGGGGGAGTCCCCCACTCAACTCTCTGGCCGCCCGCTGGGTGACCTGCAATGTGACTCAGTCCTGACACTCTCTGCTTGGCGGAAACACCAGGCTCCACAGGAAAAGGGCCCAAGCTGTCCTCCCCTTCGTATGCCAAGGCAAGCCCAGGGCACTGCCCATGCTTCTGACCAGCAGCCCAGGAAACAGCGTCCCTGGGACTCCTCCTCAGGCCCAGGCCACTGGCTAGAGCGGCTCCAGAACGCAGGAAGGCCCCACTCACTAGATTTCTCCCAAGGGCTATTAAAGGGTGTGGATCAGCCGTCACAGGGAGCGACAGAGGCGGGGTGTGGGGGCGGGACCTAGAGAGACCCGTCCCGTCCCCCCCGAGCACAGCTCTCTCCTCGTCTCCAGCCAGGAGCTTGCACACCCCATCCTGTCAGCTTCTTTCTGGCGGCTCCGCTCCCCAGACCCAACAGGGTCACCGCGCCGGACTCAAGCTCCAGGCCGCTCCCCTTCCCTGCGGCCAGGGTGTGGGACTGAAAATCCCGCCTTCTAATCACAAGGTTGGTCTCCCGGCCACCCGTCCCTATCCTACACGGATGCTTCCCAAAGTCACCCCGTTGACATAAAAAAAAAAGACAATTTACCACTCAACACCTAGGGCACCCCCAGGTTTGGGGCTCTGAGTCCGGGGCTGTGGAAGCCCAAGTCTATATGGGGCTATATCCGGGGCTGAGTGACCAACCACACACGTCTTACCCATCGCAGCATCACAGGCAGGCTGCACTGACCTGGGGGTGCCCATCCCGACATCACCTCTGCTCTCTGGGACAGGGAGGAGAGGCTGGTCTTTCAGGGGCAGGCAACGCTAGGATGACCGGCGACCACCCAGGAGCCCGCTGGCCGCCTAAGCTGGGTGCTGGGCTTGCTGCTCATCAGCCGGTCAGAGCAGCACCCAGGGGCTCTCCCCCCAGACGTGGGCTGCAGGAGGAAGGTGGGCCCAGACCTCTGTCCCACCAACAACAGATCAAACTGGATAGGTAGCCACGCCAGGCACAGCTCGCCACCCTGTGGGGCTGGCACCAGCTCTCTCATGAACCTCATCTCCCCACGGCCAGGGGCCCCAGGGCCAGCTCCACAAAGAACCAGCAGGGACACCTGGCTCGAGGCCTCTATCCGAGGTGAGGATGGAGACGCCTCTCATTCCACAAGGAGCGGGCTGAGTTTGTGTGTGCCGGCCAGACGCCTGCCGGGGCCAGTCAACAGGACCTGCCTGACGGGGCCAGTCGAAAGGGCACGGAAACAACACTGGGCCTCGGCGCCCAGGCGGAGCCTTGCCAGCACAGTGCCGGGACATGTCCTACTTGAAACACGAAGATGACACAGGTCGTTTTATGTT